ACAGCGCAAGGCAGACAGGGACCTGTTGGAGCAGGGCCAGAGGAGGCCACAAAAATGATCCGAGGGCTGCAGCCCCCCTCCTACAGGGACAGGCTGGGAGAGTTGGGGTTGTTCAGCCTGGAGAAGAGAAGGCTGCGGGCAGACCTGATTGCGGCCTTGCAGGGCTTAAAGGGGGCCCATAGGAAAGGTGGGGACAATCTTTTTAGCAGGGACAACTGTGACAGGACAAGGGGTGATGGTTTCAAACTAAACCAGGGTAGGTTTAGACTGGATATAAGGAAGAAATTCTTTCCAATGAGGGTGGTGAGACACTGGCACGGGTTGCCCAGAGAGGTGGTGGGGGCCCTGTCCCTCCCACCCCAAACCATTCTGTGGATCTAGGAAATGTTAAAACCCAGGCCTCAGCCACACCCCCAGGACCTGCCATGCCAGGAGCAGAAGCTACAGCTGAGAAAAGGTGTTTGCTCGGGCACTGGTCCGGCAGTGGCCGTTTCCTCCCTGCACAACCTGAAATAGGAAGGGGCCAAGGACAGGGAGCAGCACTGGGGCTGCGCAGCACCCCCTACATGACAAAACACAGCCACTGCCACTGGTTCTGCAAAATCCACTGATTCCACATTAAAAGAACTTTATTTTTGGAAGATTACTCTCATTTGTTTGTGGTGCTGTTTTTACCCCACATCATGATCTGTGTCACCACGGTGGCAGGGTACACTGTCCTACTGAAACATGCCAGAGAGATTCTGAATAAATAAAGCTACAAAGCCCAAGGTATGTACAGAGATCTTAGGCAAAGGTACTATGTTTACAAACCTATGTACAATAAAACAAATGTAAACAGTCAAATGCAGCAGAGGATGCAGAGGGAAGGACCACATACAGCCTGAGGGCAAGGGGGGTTCCCACCTCCCTTCTGCTGGGGCCAATAGTTTTTCTCAGCGTTTGTACAGAAAGCACCGGGGAGCTGCAGAGCCAACTGAACGCGATGGAGCGGACAGGGAACGACGATTTCTAAACCCACAGATCAAACCCCAGCTGGGTTCACTGGTTCAGTTTTAAAAAAATCCACCGACTCTGAGGCACATAGACAGAGAAATCGCACAAGGACGTTGCTTGAAAGACCCACGAGGTACACAGTCGCCCAAAACTGTCACAGAAGCCTGTAGGTGACGCCGTAAAGTCCAGTCATATATTACACAGATCAGAACATGGTTGGGATGGTTTCAGGGGCCTGGGAGGGGGGGTCCACAGGCAGCGTGGCCAGCTGGACGTGTGGCTTCCCAAGGCTCTTGTAGAGCCCCTGCTCTGGGGTGGTGGAGTCTGGCTGCTGCAGGCGGGGTAGGGCCGGGGGGGGAAGCTGTGGCACAGGCACAAG